TTGACGTCGAGGCAGGATGGACCGTGCCGAGCATTGCGGCACGTTAAGCTTTCGCCACTAAATTCTGCCGTTGCCTGGAATTGCGTGATCGGATGGTAGGGGTCAGGGCTCACACAACAAGCACTGCTTAGCGTGAGCGCTGATCCAAGAAATTCATCCATTCAAAGGGTTCGGATCAAATTTTTTAAAAATGACAAGTTTTAAGGCCCATTAGAGGGCTATGGGGGTGTGGTGTGGTTGAGGACTGGGTGGGTGTGCTGGCGGGGGTGTGGGGTGTCCCAAGCATTTTGATTCGTGGGGGCACAAGAATGTTAGCTTTAAGTCTTGTCCGAGTGCCGACTTGTCTTTGAAATGAGATATCAAGGTCTCCCTGGCCTTGTTCTGTGCTCGAATGGGATGTCGCCTGAAGCCCTGCTAGTTGGCGTAATGAATAGCAATCGCATAATACAAATCACTGCTTCTGCTTGGTATGATATGATTTTGGTGCATGTGTGCTTTTACATAAAGTGTGTGGTATAGCTGCATGTAGTGCACTTGTATATTGTATAGCACAAGCCCCATAATATATCATACAGGAGCTGTATCAGTACTGCATCGGAACCCCCTATGATGAAAAAAACAAAAGTCGGCAGGGGCGGGGGGCACTCCACGGCCCCTCCCCATGCAGCGCCCTTATAGCAAGTATCTACAGCAACGCGAACTTAGCCCAGGCTGGTCACGATCAATCGAACGATCACCGATCGGGGACCAAACAGTTATTATTTGGAATCGCATCAAATGACAAATATTCTGAAAGGACTGTGCGAGTTTCATACCGTGCGCTTTTGTGATTATCCTGTTCGTATATTTCGGTATGGTGCTCCAAATATGTGATTTTAGTAAGATTTCACAGATTAGATGAGACTGGAGGATATGGAGCATCGCTTTGAACAAATCAATTTTTCCTAAGTGAATGAAAATCATTCTGTTATAATCCTCCTATTGCCTGATTTTCGCCGCTGTCTTTATGTAAGGCAGGGGTCGTTTTGAGCTTTACTCCAAATGGTTCACGCGGGTTGCTTTGGGTGCGCAGTACCTGCCTGCCAGACGAAGCTTGTTGCGCATGCGCTGAACCACTACCCCAGCTACGCCGTTGCAATTCGAAGGATTATTCTGGCTCTGTCTGTTTGTCAGACAGGACCGCGGATCGGTTCATGTGCCGCGCCATGCTGCGGCACAGCTGCCCTTTCGGTTCTGACCTCTGACCTCTGACCCGTGATGTCAGTCGCGATAAACAATGCGCCCGCTCCTGAAGACGTACGTAGTAGCGCTGATTGTGGTTTTCATCCCTTTTTTACATTTTCTTACATGCCCAAGACCACGCTGGCAGTCACAAAATTTACACAGCGCCGACGAATCCGTGGAATAACTCCAGCTTTGCTGAATAAAGCCGCTGGAGTGGTTATAGGAACCATTACAGCGTTTCCAAGCTGTTCGAACAATCACTCTTCCATCAAACACCTCACATTATTTGTCTTTGTGGTCGACACATCTGATTGGATGCACCCAATGCATGCAAAAATGAGCAACACATGCTGAACAACCCTAACACACAATATGACATCAACGGAAGAGTACAGATGCCAATTATTATAGTTACAGACTTTCGCCATAATATGGCTAAAATGACCAATTTCTGTCCTTGGCACCGATGTCTCTAGGCTACTTAATTTCCTGAGCAAAAAACTATGACTTTTCCTGAAAGAAATTCTCCTCTCTAGGGAAATAATTGCATCTGTTCCGTTGTTTTGTGGGATAATTTATCTAACAGCGAATTAAATGAACGGAAAAATCTATAGTGAGTTTTAGATAAGTCGTGAACCGGCGACAGCTCCTGCAGATACGACTGAATCCACGAACATCGCACGCCCTGTTACAAAGTGCACCCGCAATGTCCTCCGTGGACAAGGAAACACGGACGCCCCGAAACTAACATCTGCCCGCCATCTGTCGTCGTTCCACGGCTACTTGCAAGCTGTTACGGCCGACCGCATGGCAAGGCGGCACCTGCGGGATGGCTGAGGACTGAGAGTCTCTGATGTGTTTGTTTCCCTGACCGCTTCCATGTCTCCGAGTCTCTGCGGTCTCTGAGCGCGTCCATGCTCCGCCGTCGTCAGTACGCTGTTTATGTAGTCTTGAATGATAAAATGTTGACCCTTTTCCCTCGTTTAGGAAGACAAGTTGCCGTCAAAAATATCGCAAAAACGCATCGGTGTGACATTTCGGTAACAAGCGATTGTCGCAGAGTTTTCCTTTGTCTACCGAAAGAGCAATAGCCTAACCATTTCAACAAAACTTGGAACGTGATAACAGGAAAACATAAACAGAATTCAAGGTTGTTCCTAATATAAGCAGCCTCCAATGCAGTATTACCTACCAGGCTCTGAGCACGAGGCGCGGGAATGCTCACGACCATTCTTAAAGGCACGCATCACGCATGCGCACAATATACAAGAGAACCGTGGGCATGACTCACCGTTATTCCTGCGAACTGGTGACGCAAGACAAGTCCACGAAGCCGGTGACACATGTTACGTGGAAACGCGCATACTGAGAACGATACAGTAAACAGAGACAGCGACCGCCGCCTGTGAATGTGTGTTCAGAGTCTGCGGTGATTCACCACCCTGGCAGATGACGCGGCGTGCATACTGGTGTGGTGCGCAAACGCCAAAAGACCTCCACGCTCGCCGAAGATATGCTCGGGATGAGAAACGCGGGCGCGCTGGAGAATAGAAGTCATCCGTCAGCGAGCTGCAGAATTCCGGTGCGTTTGGCAGTATCTGTCTGTCTGCCTGTCTGTACCTGTCTGCCTGTCTTACCCTACCTTACCTTAATCGCGTGCGCGCGGGCGTTTGGGCGCGCGCGCGGTGTGTGCGTTTTTCGTTGATCATATTCCGAGTTTTTAAGGAACGCTTTGTCCGATTTGTTTGTATTTTTTAATGGGCTGAGTGAAACTTACAATGTTGTTACAGACTGCATTCATTTTAGACGCCAGCTCGGTTGCGAACTTCGTTAAGACCATGCACGTTATACAGTGTCTAAGACTTCCAAACGATAAAATACCACATACGTTTTTTCAACAGTCCACAGACAAAGAAGAACAGTAACACAAACATGCATCACCATTGATAAATGCCACTAAAGTCTACACAGGCGTTAACTGAAAACGGATAGCGTGTTTCACAGATAAATAACGCCATTTACACAGAGCTTTTCAAAAGAACTAGCACCACTTACAGCTTTAAAAGAACCTGAGTGACGGAAATATGTTTAGAAGTTACTATGCAATGGTACGCACACCTTACCGGCAAACCGCCCTTACATTTTCCATACCAAGGTCACGCCACGGTGCCATCCCACAAGGGCGAATCCGGGAGGTAGGGGGCAACTGGGTCATGCCCCCAAAATGATCAAAGTTAGGCGCGAAATGGCAGTGTTGAAGAAAATTTGAGCCTCGTTTACTAGATGCATTTTCCTAGAACACTCCCCGAGGAAAAATTGGACCGAAAGCCGATGAATTTCGAAGGCAAGAAGACTTTTGGGATTTCAACCCAAGCCGACGTGCTCCCCAAGGCGGCGTCTGGGATCCACCCTCGCCCTCCCAGCACCTTCCTCATGCCTCACGGACGGGCCACACGGCCGAGGAACAAAGGCACGCCCGTCTCACGGTCGACAACCGCCGCCAAGAACGGATGGTCGGCGCGGAAGTCGAGCAGCTCCGGCGCGAGAATGGCCATGACGCCGACCATGACGGCCGTGGCCGCCGCCGCCTCGCAGCCCTCCTCATCGACGGCGATACAGGCGCGATGCAGCACGCTGTCGACGACCAGGTCGCGCGCACCGGCGATACCGGACAGGTCGGCTCGCTTGCCGTCGAAGGCGTCGCTCATGCCGAGGCGCTCGAGCGCCCCGCGCAGCTCCATGCCCGTCTCCAGACGGAAGCGCGGCAGCACGACGCGAGAGCGGAGGCTGTGCAGCGAAGCGCGAAGTGCGGCGAAGTCGGTCTTCGCCAGACGCGCCTCCAGCGCAGGCAGGCCCTCCTTCTCGCGCGGCAGCAACAGTAGCATACTGAACCGGTAGCCGACAAACGGCAGCTCCACGGCCTGGCAGCCGAGGCCGCCGCAGTCGTTGCTGCCCTGCAGCATCTTGCCGTCGAGGGTCATCAGCTTCACGCGCAGGGTCTCTCCGGGCGCAAAGAAGTCGCCCTCCTCCGTCCACTCCTTGTTGAACTTGTGCTGCCAGCCGGCCTTGAAGTGCACGGCGTTGACGAGGACGAGGCGGATGGCGGCGGACAGCGAGCTAGCCGGCACCAGGTCCTGGATCTTGCCCCGTGTCAGGCGGGCCACTTCCTCATTGATGACGCGGCTGGTGCCAGTGGTGTCGGCGAAGTCCACGCTCAGCGCCTCACTCCGGTAGCGCTCCTTCAGCGTCGTCGCGAAGCTGTCCTGCACCTTGAAGGACTTCTGCAGGTACAGCCGGTTGGCGGTGTTCAGCGCCGCGTCCGGCACGTTCTCCAGCGACGTCAGCAGGCTCTGGTAGCCGCTGTGGACGTCCTCGGCGTCCTCCGCGTGGCCCAGCGTCTTCCGCATCTGCTTCGCGGTGTCGCCGGCCGCTCCCGCCAGCGTCATGGCCAATGCGGTACCCACGCTGAACGGCGACAAGATGATGTTGCCTTCGTTCGCCTCCGCCACATCGCAAAAGAAAGCGCGGCTGAAGCGGTCTAACGCCGCTGACACGCCCTCCGTAGCCGCCATTGTTGCGACGTGGGCAGAGCGTTCGTCGTCTACGCGGGGTCGACACTGGCACAGTGCACTTCACCTGGTCGCTGGCTCGTTTTCACGGCGCTTATCGGGTTCCACCGCCGCGCCCCGCCGCCGAGTGTTTGCTCGCTCGCCTAGCGCCGCCCTTCTGGCAGCCGCCCAACTCGACGCTCGCCCGTGACGTCAGAGATCACGTGGTGTAATGCTTGACGTCACTGATCACGTGGTATTTGTCGGACTTGGCAGCCTCACAGCAAAGTAAAACTGATTTGGTATCTTGCGTTTTGGTGGGGAATATGACGTGAACGATACGATTTCTATTTTCTGCCCGGTCTTTTTAGCTACATAGAAAGTAATGCTGATAAAAAGTCTAAAGCACAGTTTATGTGTGAGGCGTGCTGCTGGTGGCCTCAATTGGATGCCGCGCCCAAACAGGCACATTAATTCTCCACGAGTAGTCTGGGCATGTAAGTGTCGTAAAAGCAGTGTTTCTGATCCGCCGGATATTTGCACTTAAGGTAGTTGGCGACAAAATGGGATCAGCATACCTAAAATGTTGATTTTTCTCCAGTGGTGGTAAGAGTGGTCTGGATGTGCAGCATTGACAGAGTTATTCAAAGAATGCAGTGCTCCCATGTCCATTCCCCATCTATGTCCATTCCCATGACCATTCCCCATCTATGTCCATTCCCATGACCATTCCCCATCTATGTCCATTCCCATGACCATTCCCCATCTATGTCCATTCCCATGACCATTCCCCATCTATGTCCATTCCCATGTCCATTCCCCATTTATGTCTGTACTCTTATATGTCAGCATCATTTAGTCTTCAATCCATGACAATAATGTGAACAAGATGCTTGAGGTAGACAGGATCTTGCCCCAGATAGACCACACTGTCCCATCTGGGGCAGGTTATGTGAACCTTACCTACCCTTAAAATAATCAACTGTCAAATTTGGTAATGTTCTATGATTTTACCATTTTTGTGTATTGTGGAACATGTTATGGTGTTTTCAGCAGTCCAGTTCAGTAGTTTCTGCCCCCAAATTTTGATAAGCTGCCCCAAGCTAGAAGTTGTGCCCTACCCCTGTCCTAATGAAATTTGACTAAAATCTACCTTGGTTTGCTTGCGCATTTGCCATCAATGTATTTGAATTATGGTGTTTCATAGTTAATTGATGAGTATTTTGGTACTCCATTATCATTTATATGTCCTTTTAGCCATCCTTCATTCTTGTATGCATTCTTACATGCCATTATTATTAGTCTATTCACATTGTCATCCTTTATTAATGTTTATATTATGTGTCATTTTTATTGATGTGCTCATATGAGCATTCATCATCCGAGTCCTAGTATAGGTTCATGAGATGTGCCATCATTGATGATGATGATGATGATGATGATTTGGGGTTTTAGGGCACATCAACTGCTATAGGTCATGCAATGCCCATTATGTGCCATCATTATTGATGTGTTGAAATGCAGCACTTTATAGTTGATGGGTAATTATGTTCCCATGTGCTTGGACATACACCAGGATCCCAAGGGTGCATCCAGAATCCCATAGTGGTCAATGTTATTGGGATCATGGCATTTTTTGGGAAAGACGCTCTAGGCACATCTCCCCATGCGCCATTATCATTTATGTCTGCATCATACTCTCTTTTGTACTCTTCATGTCTGTACTTTCATACTGATGAGGTTGTTGACAATACCGTCCTTCATCAATAGCTTCATCAATAAACTCTCTCATAGTTTGCTGCATTTATATCCACCACCACAACCTGCATTAGTGCTCATTGTGTGATGAGTAAATGCAAAGAGTAAATAGAGCAAATGAATGACAATGACAATGGATGCCTGAGAATACTGAGGTAAATGAAGGATTGTCATGTTACCCTATCAATAACATGTGCGGTTTTTTTGTTCAAGTTCAAGCTGTCACATGTATTTATTCCCAATGTGGTGCAAAGACAGCTTTAAGAATTAAATTATGCTTGGTTTATGGTGAATCAATCTATTTCTTTCATCTTGTGTTGTGGTAAGTACCAGTTTTTATTTGTAGTTATGATTGAATGCATGTGACAACCTTTGGTGACCTTATAGAATTCTGTCATCAGAAGGCCATGTCAAGTACTGCAGTATCCCTTCAACTGTTGCATGGCATGGTCATCCAAGATTCAGAAATCAAGTGGGATGCAAATTATTCTAGACCTTGTCCTTGCTTGTCCTCTTGATGTTCATCTTTGAGCAGATGGTCTTTGAATAGCCTGTGATAGTTGCTCATATCTTGGATTTCTTCACACAGATTCACAGTATATTTAATATGTTCAGGAAGCCAGATTGCTTATTTAAGGTATTTCTCTGGGCTGTTCTGACCACCAAACATGCATCAGGTATGAGGAGTGTTATGTTGTTTACTCTTTATGTTGACATTTGATCCAATTTTACCTTGAAGTTTTTGGATGATCATTGAATGCTTTTCATACTGGTGTATTTTTGCACTGTGTGAATATTGTTTGATAGGCTTCCCTCTTCTGTCTTTTCCAGAGAGACTACATTTCCCATACCAAAAGAGTGGCAACTCTAATGAGCCCTGTCACCACTATGAGCCCACCTGCTGGAGTCTGGCACGTCCACCACTGCGCACCGCTCTTCTTCCCCTCCCCGCACCTGCCTGCCCGCTGTCCCGCGTGCGGCAAGCCGCTGCCAACCTCCCCACCCAGGGAGGTGCCCTCGCCGTTCCGGCGCGCCGCCGACCAGCCCCGCTCCGTCCTCATCCGCCCTACGGAGGGCGACTTCCTCCTGAACTACACCGGCGGCGGCGACCTGCACGCGGGCGTCACCGACTCGGGCGGCGGCGTGGTCGCCTTCGACCGCGCCGGCCTCCGCCGCGTCCCGACCGCTGACTGGCCCCAGTGCATCGTCATTCCCCTGCCCGCCTCTGACGCCCCGGCAGAAGCGGCCGCCGCGCGGTGGGACCACGCCCTGGACCGCCTGCTCACCGCCGATGGCTGGTCGGCCTCTGACTACTGACGAGGCCGACCGCAACTGCTTCTCGTTCGTGCTGGCGTTTCTGGCGGCGCTGGGTCTGCCCGGCGTGGCGGCGGGGGGCCTGACGCGGGAGGCGTTCGCCAGGGAGCACGTGGTGCCCGTGTCGGGACGCGCCGCGAAGTACCTGACGCTGTACCGGCGGGTGCGCAGGCTCGGTTGGTACGCGATCGGGGAGGAAGGGCGGTCGCGGGTGCAGGGTGCGGTGTCGGGAGGAGAGGATGGAAGATGAGGACCGGGAGGAGAGTAGGAGCGATGGAACTCTAGGCGAGGACGCGACGTGGACTGCAATAAAGATGTGCGGCTTCGTGGGAGACTGAGGATTGCAGAAGATCGTGCTGTGTGGAGGCTACCCATGGTATATGTGTGCTGTGTGGAGGCTACCAGTGGTATATGTGTGCTGTGTGGAGGCTGCCGTTGGTATCTGCATGCTGTATGGAGGCTACCAGTGGTATCTGTGTACTGTGTGGAGGCTACCGTTGGTATCTGTGTGCTGTGTGGAGGCTGCCGTTGGTATCTGTGTGCTGTGTGGAGGCTACCGTTGGTATCTGTGTGCTGTGTGGAGGCTACCGTTGGTATCTGTGTGCTGTGTGGAGGCTACCGTTGGTATCTGTGTGCTGTGTGGAGGCTACCGGTGGTATCTGTGTGCTGTGTGGAGGCTACCAGTGGTATCTGTGTGCTGTGCAGAGGCTACCGTTGGTATCCGTGTGCTGTGTGGAGGCTACCAGTGGTATCTCTGTGCTATGTGGAGACTACCGTTGGTATCTGTGTTCCGTGTGGAGACTACTGGTGTATCTAGGAGCGATAATGTGATGACCTGAAAGGGCTGCATGCCATGTGAGCACGCTAGGGAGTGTGCCGGAAGTACAGAGGCACAAGGAACATGGTAAAGGGTGCGCTTTCCTATGCGATCAATGGGAAATGGGCGACTGCATTGGTTTTAACCTGGCTGGTAGTGCTCGCCCGTGCCTGTATGCGGGAAGTCGGAAGATCCGGTATCGCCACTGGTCACGTATTTCGTCGTCCTCCGTGAGGATGACAGTGAGACACTACGACGTGGAGCGCACGGGGGTGCCAACGCGCTGCTAAAGCGTCACAATTGTTAATTGAGTATTTTTATGTTGTTTTAACTTAAGACCAATTATGCCGTCGACAGTTTATGAAAGCAAGCGTTATTGAGATGTCTGTAGTTCTTTACAAGAGTTAAGTTTTCAGGGGAACTTGGTAGGTATGTTGAGGTATGTATGTATCACTATCTGTACAAGCACGTTGTTTGGAATCCATTGTTATGTGTTACGGATTCCTTTTTACCGAACAAATTGCAACAGTAGATCTTTATAATATATATGGCCTGTAATACATTCCACCAAAAATAATTTTCTTTGTTAGTATCTGCAAGCATTCGGCCATGGTGGACGTGCGGGATGACTCCAGAACAATGCATGCGGTTTTCGTTCTTGTGTTTGGTTTGAATAATGTATTTTTTATGGAATTGTGCACCGCTCAAAGCTTTAAGATGCGAAAAATGGTTCCAAGGTAGCGCAACACTTATTGTCCTCTGGCGATACAGTATGGCTCGTTGTCTTTTTTTAGAGGGCTGAGTGCTAATATTTTTGCAGGGAGGGGGAGGGCTAGAAGGAAATGGCGTTGATCAGCTTATTGAGGCAGAATGCTTGACAGCGGACATGCATTTGGGAGTTGACACTTGCAACAATGTCAATCTACTTTGCCTTCATGGGACTGTGTTCATGCCGTAACGTTCAAGACCACCGGCCTCTGAGGTACATACGGAGTATTTACAGTTGACCTGAAGGACCATTGAGCATCGTTCAGTGGTCCTTCAGGTCAGCTGTTCGTACGGATTGAGTGAGAATCTGAGATTATGATTGCTCCCAACAGGTGGCGCCAAAATAAATCAAACCATTCCTGGTCAGTTGGGATGTGCGGTGGAAGCGTCATAAAAAGAGTGTCTTCTTTCATAAGAAGAATAGCGCAGATACTTAAAGGGAGCTTTCAATATTTGTGTAAGGTTTTGAGCTGAAATAGCCACATTCAAGACCTTTCGGTGGAGTTCACGGTCGTGCCCTTCATAGGACCTAAGCGCCTCTAGTTTTTGAGCCACAGGCCCGCGAAAATGGGGTGAGTAGTTCTGCGATAGTATTTCCAAGTCACGTTGCCATTCAAAACGTCGTAATAATGCCATTTAGGTCCGCTATTTCATAAGCCATGCAGCGATCAAGGCCGAGAAAATGAAGTCATTTATACCTGTCGTTCGTGAGCACGTTTTCAAGACATAACGGCCATCAATTGGCTCTCAGTGTTATGCACGATACGCTGACATAATCAAACGATGACGTGTTAAAGAGCTTATTTACCAAACAGAGAAACTGTGCTGTCTAGAACAGCCTTTTCCGCTTAAAAGCATACCAATAGTTAAAAGTGAGCTTATTCCATCATGTCTTATGCTTGGTTCAATATATTTAAGTGTGGAACATTCCCTTAAACAACGGCATGCTCCTGTAAGGAAAAGGGCTTTAGCACATGTGCTGAGTCTAGCTTTGATCGCCGTACGTATAAGGTAGGACTGGGATGTGTTTTCCTATTCAGTTAGGGGAGGGGACTCCAGACCCCAAGTTGAGCACTTGCTCCCCCAGTTTTAAGAAGAAAAAAAGTCATACCCTAGTGGAGCTCGTTTGTTGGCATAATCATTTTTCACAGTTCGTCCCCCCCAACTGATTCTGTGAAACCATGCCCCTGGTATGGAATAGTTGCGCTGCCATGCATGTGAACATTGATGGTTGCGCTGTAATGCTGTAATGCATAATGAACTGTTCAATATGCACTGTAATGTGGTGCCCTTTCTGGTGCATGAGCCATTACTAATGAACGTTAAACACTTGGCAACCACCTCATGCTGTCAACTGTCGTTTGTTGTGACTCGGCACAAGCAACCTGATAACGGGATGCCGATATTTCAAGTAATTACGCAGGTCCACTGGAAATCCACGCAGACCAAGTGTAATCCAAAAGCCGTGAAATCTGAGTGCGTCTCGGACTAAGTGGGGAATGCATCCCCTGCCCCACGCCTCCATGAAACGTGCACTTGACAATGTCCAGACACGCAGTGTTCGCTGCTCTCTGCGAGGGAGAGGTAGTGGTTGCTGGAGAGGAAGCTGTAGTGTCAGGCACGTGGCCAAGGAGGGTTTAAGGGGCTGTGGCAGCTCCGGGCCAGGAGGTTTGCACCAGATATGAGCCATTTTGGAGGACATCGGTCCAAAGTCGCCAGTGTTCAGGCAAACCTTGCGGACAATTGCCCTCCCCTGAGAAAAATCGCTGTCACGTACCTGGGCAGAGCTAACGTGGAGTGACACGATGCACGGTGTTACCAATTACAGGGACGGCGAATACAGGCCGGAAGAACGAGGATCGTTTGATTTGTGTTTTTTTTTGGGGGGGGGGGGAGCGGGGTAATCTATGCTGGAAGCATTCTGGTAAGCGGCCGCTTGTATTGAGCTGCAGTAAGGTAGAGGGCACTAGGCTCGAGTTGAAGAATTGTAGAGGCGCTGGTATCGCAGTTTAGTCCTGTCCCGTAGGACGTAACGAATGCCCGCAACACTGTAACTGCCAATGCGGGTTACTTTGCATTGATATGTTCTTAAATATTTGTTGATTATCGGGACCGTAGCTGGTAATAATTTCGATGACAGTTTTGTTTGCTTGTGCAATGTATCGTTCTCTGTCCTCACTACGTTGGCGGGTTGGTTATCATAATGGCAGTCACGGTACTGTTTCGCTGTCCTCGTGGTTGGCTACATTAGGAATAATAATATTGTCGGGAAGGAGTTCCTTGATTTCCCGAACAAGAAGAGTCATAGAAGACTAGCTGAGCACACAGGGCACGGTTTTAATGAGCTTAGCTTACAACATCTTTATATTTGTGGAAGTTTGAGGACCTTAATCTGTAAATGACCACGAAACAAGATCTTTGGTCGACATGTCCATAATTTGCGTTCAAGCACTTGATAACCCTCTTGTCTTCTTCAGATCACCCGTGTCATTCCTGGGTGCAGTAAACTGATATTGGCGGAAATACGCCGTAATAAACGGCACACATAACGCGTACATACGTGCACAAACGTGCATTGAGATTTGTTCATGTAAAACAGATGTTTGTTGCAGAGCATGCAATTCTAGAACACTGTACCCCTGTCTTGGCTTTCTTGAGGTATCTGATCGTGCTTCGTGACGATTTGTGCAATAAAGGGCAATTCAGAAGCTTAGTTACAGAGGTCAGAGGTGAAGGTGAGCTGAATCTGACAAATCACCCAAAACCTAATTTCCTATGGGAGTTGGACCGTTTTAATGCTTGAAGCAATATGTTCGATGGTTTGCATGCATTACAATTTCTCACCATTGTTTTACGTAAGCAGCAAAACGAGTTGAGGACTTAAAGTTGTTACGAATGTTTCCATCCACATTATCGAGAAATCCTTGGCCTCCACGGCTTCTGTGCCTGGGAAAAATGTCTGATCTTCATGACTTGGCCCTTATGTTAGACCGCGTTTACCGGCATTTTATTCCATTGTGCTTCAGTTCATTCTTGTGCCAGGTTATCTTTTGAGAAAACGTGACGGGTCTCATACACACAACGCCTGACTCGTGTGTCCAAACTGAAAAATCCCGATCCGAGAAATCCAGGCGCCGTGCACTGACGGGATACAATCGGAATATGATTTAGTCTGCCAAGGATTACACGGCATCGCTTTCTCGATTGCTATGGCGCGCGTAGTTCTTAAAGTAGGAGGTCTGCGTTCAATATTTCAGTGTTTCAGTAGTTGCTATTTTCTGCTGATTATATACTTATTGACTCATTGTTTCTGGTTACTTACTACTTAAATTTCGCTTCTACAGTATTTCAGTACTCTACCAGGATGACCTCGTTTGCTCCTTGGAAGGTCAGCCGCACTTCGATGATACTATACTTAGTTCGATGATATGATACGATTCGATGATACTATAATACTTAGTTCGATGATATTAGCCCAGTGAATTTTTGCATAGGCTATCTGGTGACGCCTTGATCTTGGCTCAAACGCGTTGGTGTCCGTGACAGCAGAGAGCCTGCGCAGCTCGTCGTCCCATGAGAATTATAAAAGCGTTCGTCCAGCAAACCTTTAAAATAAGGCGGACAATAAGGAGCTTCCGCGAGAAAAAAAATATCCAGCAAAGATGTGTGCATCTCAACCTATCTCGACCTGTATATGCTGGGGGAAATCCTGCCGGACAGGAATCCCCTGAGAACTCACTGCTTCTAGCGTCCAGGGGACTCGAAACAGCGCCGGGGCAGTAGAATCCTGCAGACGGCAGCATCGGCCGCTGATTGGGCGGCGCCTCTGCGCCTACCGGTAGCGGCAGGGTCGGCGGCGGCAGCGTCGGTGGAGAGCCAGACATCCCACCGCAGTGGGAGACCGGTGGCGCGAGCCGGGAGGGTGCGTTGTTTACAAGTGCGGACGTGCGGCGTGCGACCCGGGGCGAAGCATGCGTGGCGTGAGCAGAGCGTGAGAAAGCGGCGTGAGGAGGTGCGTTGCGTGGCGGGTGACGTGCGAACTTCTCGAGGAACGGATCACCTTGGATACGGCTGGAAACGAACGGATTTCTTGACAGGCGGCAGTCAGGTGAGCTCGTGGGGCACGCGGGTGTATATAGATTGCTGCCTAATTTTTTATATAAATTGTATATATATTGCTGCTTATAATAGATTGCTGCTTGAGGGTGTATATAAATTGTTGTTCCCGATGGAGAATCACGCGCTTCTGATGCCACTGAACTGTGGGGTGCCGTTTCCGATCCATTAAAAACGCGTTTCATGAGGTCGCCGCAAGGGACATTTGCACCGATATGCACAAAACGCGTGAATACCCGCAGTTTGCAAAATATTAAGTCGTAAAAACTATGGAAGCAATGTAAAATGCCCCTTACGGTTGTTTGGCGTTGGCAGTGCCTGTTCATTATTCTGCCAATAATTGCAATCCCATCATTTGCATCTACTTCAGCCTTTCAGTCCATATCACCCCGCTTCATGAAGTGCAGCAGCCGGTCATGGAACAAGAGCGAAGTGATACTTTTCCTACCAAATCCCTCCGGTTTTTCTCGTTTGCATCGCGTCTTTTCGATCTACTGGAACTTTCGCTGAGAGCGGTGAATGATAGTCACGAAAAATGCTGCGAATGCGCTGGAAAGCTTGAGGGTCAGTTTTCAGAACACGTCGTGAAGCAAATGTTCACGACGTGTTCATCAAATGTTCGTGTATTCAAATATTCATCCAACACCAAGGCACACGGACGAAGTATGGTGTCAAGCCCTCTCCCGATTTTTACACGGCTCATTTACAACATACGCCGGTGGTAGTCAGCCTCCCCCGCCCCCGCCCCCTTCCCCCAACCGCCTCCGTCCCCACGTCCCTCCTTGTTTACCGTGCGCGCTCCGGTATGTGCCCTCCCCCTTCCTTCGCCCACCGCGCGTGGTGGGAGTGCCCCCGCCGGATACCTGGCCGGGTCGCTGGCCGAGCAGTGTGCGATGCTCACCACATCTCAGGAGCATCACGCATGACCAAAACACGCCTATCTCCGTCTCCGAATTCATACCCAGAGGATATTCTATGGACGACATGTGCCAAAGTAAATGAGTGATTTGCGCACGGTGACGTACCTTGATGAAGTTTTTGCATAAAATGTTATTGGCTTGATTTGTTATTCGGACCTTCCTCGGCGCATGCATGCCTTTTATTATTTTAATAGAGATGGTCCAAGAACCGGCTCAAATGTACCGCGACCGTAATCAACGCTACAATTTACTACTAATTATGGTGTAAAGTCCTTGCAATTTCTTTTTACTCTTGGTTGCAAAGAAGCCACGTTTGCAGAGAAACGACAGTACAGATGTGGCCTCTACCACGCATGGATTTGTAAAATGTGAGCCATTGTCAAACACGCACAAGGTTTAAGAAGCTCTCAAGGCCATTCTTATCTGGCAATACTGATACTTCATACACAATGTGAAGAACCATTAACACATACTTCTATGAATCCATCACTACTTCCCCTTGCTGGTCTCTGATACCCGGTTACTTCTCACCATTGCTCATTAGTGCATCTCAATGTTTGGCATTGTGCGTTGATGCCTCAGGAAGCTATGCGGCGACATTTTTCTTGCTGCGGGTTACTTAGAAGAGAAGGCACTACATAAACATTTTGGCTGCCCTTCACGCTTCTTTTCTTTCGTCAGTTTGTTTTGTTTTGTGCACTTTTTTCATTCCCTACCGAGGCACCTGGTTGAGAAGAAGCATGGGTTGGTAGACGGTTTATCATCTGCTGGTGTCTGACCATTCCTTGTTCGTCTCATTGCTGGCCGATATGAAGCTAGCAGCAGACACTCACTGTCGCCCACTGTCGGGGGGCAGACACCCACTGTCGCCCACTGTCGGGGGCAGACACTCACTGTTGCCCACTGTCGGCGACACTGCCCACTGTGGGCAGACGCCCACGACGTCCACCATCATTCCCTTCCAACGTATTGGAATTCGACTCATACAGCTACCTTCCTCTCCACTGCAGTACATTCTTACAGCTACGTATTTACTGTCGGAAAAATAGAAAACTAACGATGCATTTTATGTAATGCCTCGTATTGATCTCCACCTCATTGAGCTAGCATTTGACTGACTCTTGTTCATCGTGCAATAAAGCCATTCCCTGCTTGAGTTTACATTCCCAAAGATATTTGCTCTCTCATATCGGAAGACCATTAAGGTGATACTGCGTCTATAATTACCTTAAACAAACTCGGTCGCGCTCGGCCCGTCGGTCGTCGCATGCGGAAGGTTCCGGTATTTCAGGCTCCTCGTATTGGACGGCTGTGGTGCAGTATTAAGCACGTAACCTACATACCGATCTGTATCCTGCCGTCCGGGATAGGTCACCTGACTGGCGATCTGACCTGACACCTGACCGGCTGCCGCACCGATCCTGGCCTTACATCAGGGCCCCCGTTCCTCACTGGCAAAGTACCTACTTGAGTTGCTACCTGTGATGTCGCAAGTACCTACGCCATACATAGGCGACTATCCTCCAAGATGCAGAAGCTGTTGTGACGCACTTACCTCTGACGTCATAGGCTGCAACTTGTGGACGGCTGTTGGTAATAGGGGACGCAGCCAGGTGGTCTGTGTATCCATTCGGCCTGTCTGAGGCGTGGTTTGAAGGTTTTCTGTGACCAAATGCGGTGTTTCTGTTATCTTCTCTATATTTTGGACTACTGCCGATTTTAATTTGCTACGAATATCTTTTTGCTCTGATGGACTCCGTGTCTGTGGTCTGTATCACGCTTAAGCTCAGTACTAACTGAATCGCTTCTTAGTTTGGCTAATTGGCCATGAACACAGCATCAGAGCCACGGCGTCAAAGCCAGGGCATCTGCCGTCAGTCATTCATTTCAGATCACCTGAATCATTCTACCTGTTTTGAAAGGATTTACTTGTAGTGAGTCTACGTATGCTTGTCACGTTCAGTTTGCCACTTTGACACCCAATACACTTCTTAAATGAGACGTCCCTGCGGTTTCATATGTAAGGATCCTTCATTCTTTACGACTTCTGCTCCATTTCCTCGGTGTATGCTTCCTACCACCGACCCTTAGTTCCACGTCGTTTGATGCTATCAGTCAATAGTGTGCTCCCGTTTCAGATCCTCCTCTATTGGCTGGCTGGCTGCCAAGCTTTCAGAATAAGCGGATGGATAAAATTTTAATGTCAGTGTCAGAGCCTCTGACCTACCTAGACTTGGCTAACAAGTAATTGGTATGCAACCCACAGTCGAAAGATCTGGGCTGGCTCCCAAACAGCAAGGCACGAGCTAAATATAAAGATCCAGAGTCTGTAGTTCCGTGTCTTTGGGTACCCCCCTTTTTGTGACTCAAGGTTTTGCCGTGATTGTTGCGGCAATGATATCGCATGTGGTATCGTCCACTTCCTCTGATGCGCCGTGCCTCTCTCCTCACGTCAGCTGCGTCACTTCCACAGACGAATGGTTCCGTCTGTCCTCATTCACCAAGTCCTGCCACTAGTCTGTCTCCCTCCTTCAGTCCCAGTCCGCCGTCTCCTAGCACCCCTTCCCACCTCCCAGTCCCACCCTCTCTCCTCCGGTCCCTCCCCGCCGTCTCCCATCTCACAGTCCCACCTCCCAGTCCCACCTCCCAGTCCCCCGTCCCTCTCCACCATTTCCCACCTCAAATCCCGCCTCCCAGCCCCACCCTCTCTTCCCGGCCCCTCTTCCTGGCCCCTCTCCGCCTCCCAACCCCACCGGCCAGACCTCTGCCCGTCTCCGACGTCGGCTGCGACCCTCGGCAGTCGGCCGGCCCGCTGTGGGCACGGCCGACAGGCACCGTTATTCGGGGTCAGCGGCGGCGGCGGCGGCGGCCGCCGCGGCCAGCGAGCGGGTGGCCTGGCATACCCGTGTTGGCGCGCCGGCCGGGCCGACCCGGTGACACGGTCGGCCCGGCCGACTGTGTCACGCACATGCTCACGCACGTGCCGACGCGCACTCAGCTCGCAGTTCGTCACATCAGCTCGCAGTTCGTTACATCAGCACGCAGTTCGTCACATCAGCCCGTTTATGCTCAGTGCTTATCACCGCTGCACATCGTGGATGGAGGTGGCAGAACAGTGCATATGAAAGATCGCTTTCGCTGCCCACCGCCGCCCGCCGAGTTGAAGGCGTCAGGAGGAAAATGTGTGCACGTGAAGGCAGTAACGGAAGTTTCGGGACGTGCTGATATTCTGAGCGGGGGTAGTCTGCTTGTTTTCTGTTTGTTGCTATTTCAGGACGTCCAGCGCCCGTGGGGCGTTTGGTTTTGGCGAAGGCAGATCTGCAAATGTTTTCATGCTGCTAAGCTATAATTTGTGCACATATGTTTTGACAGTGGTGTCCCTTTGCCTGCCGCCCATGCATTCCCGCTTCTGGTGGCACAAAAGGACAGCAAATGCTTATCAGCTGCAGAGGTGTCTCTCCATCTCATACAGAACGTGCTGGTTCTGTGATTAGTTCTCCCGAAAATAGCATATTGTCATTATTTTGCGATCGTAAACCATCCCACAAATGCTTCGTGTTCTATCTTGGCGCCTCATTACCCCCGCTATAACTGACGACGCATTCAAACTCCCGAAACGCGGCGCCCGTAAAGCCCTAATCGGGTGATTGCGTGGTAAAGCTCGCTTTCCGGCCTGATAACCCCGACGTAAACCCACCGAGGCGTCCCGGCTCGGGGTGCCCTCCCCGTCACGGTGCGGGGTGGATCGGGGATAAAGGAGGCGCGTCTGCGTGTGACCCAGAACGTGCGACCCGCCCCGTTTCAGGTCAACACTCTGAGCAGAGGAGGGGTCAGGTGAGGTCAGACGAGGTCAGACGAAGTCAGATGAAGTCAGACGCGGCGCGCGGAGGCGTACGCGCGCAAGCTTGGTGGGGGGGAGGGGGAGGGGGTTGAGACGCACCATCGTCATCATTTAATCTATGGCATACCAGAAATGCATACTACAAGGTGATTATGCACCGTCCTGTTAGGAATTGAGACACTGCGAATGGGCTGTTGGCGTGCAGTACCCTAGAACTTTTTGCGTTTTATG